TATTTATCATTATACTCATCACTATGGATGTACTATGCAAAAATGTATGTATAAATAATAACTATGTGGATATAACGTATTTCATGTATAGATGTAGTACACTAAATCGTGATTCTTTCATACTTAGTATGACTCTACTCATTTTAGATAAACTAATATATATACCAATTAGTGAAATCTTAATAGTAACCTATTAAAATGTTCAAGATGATAATATCTTCCAAATATCAAAATTTACATAGTAAATTTTTTCTAGAATGTGATATATTACATTTTATTAATTTTAGGAGAGATAAAATCGGCAAAACCTCAAAATCATAAACAATAGAAGGGTTTAGATTATTTACCACAATCATAGCACATTTTGCAAGTGGTGTAATAAAAAATATTGGTCTAAACACATATTTCTCTTAACATAATGTTTTTACATTTTTTATTTAAAAAATAAAATTTCTGACTCCGCACCATAACGGTGAAAACCCCGGTGCTGCAATTCTCATTTAAGTTCTTATAAGCACGAGAGTTTAGCACCGTAGTGCTTTTCATTCATAGCTCTATCGCACCGCTCATTTCAAAGCTTCAAAATAACTTCAGATTTCATCATTTTCTTATAAGATTGTAGCTAATTCGTGATTTACTGAATAATGAGTTCAACATACTGTGCATATTTCAATATTATTAATGATCCATCCAACTAAAATGACTGAAATTGAAAAATTAGCCCTATATTTATGAGAATAATTGGAGAAGACTTGAATCCCTTCTAAGAGCTTTCTAATTGATGACTTAAACTACTGAACATAACAAGAAAATTTTGCCAGAACTACCCCACAAAAATTAAGCCCATCCATACTAAAAAATCACGTATAGCAAATTTCAGTCTGCAATAAGGACAAATCATGCTTGGTGGAATGAACGAATATGAAACAATGCAAATATTTTAAAAACATGAAAAAGTTGAAATGAAACATTTAAAGCCTAAATTATATTTAAATTTTATAGATGAATTAAATAAACAGTAAAAATAAAATATTAAATTCGTCATATATTCAGTACTAATAAATCATGCTTTCGCAGCACTTTTTAAGATCTACTGCAGCGGTTTAAACACCTATTAATTTATTTGCAGCGGTTTAGAAACTGATGCAAATCCACTGTATTTGCGTTCGCTGGAAAGACTTCACAGATGGTGATAGTGTCGCTCCTCCGACAGCAGCTCAACGGAGAATAATGAAGGAGACGAGCTGATACACAAAGGAGAAGGAAAGAGGGAGAGTTGAGGGGAACAAAGAGGGGTCTGAATCGCGATAATATTAGGAAATTAGGGTTCATCGGTGGGTTTATGAAATATATTCGTAGCAGTTTTTTTTAGAATATTAAAATTGATGCTATAAGTTTGGAATTAAAATAAATTTTAACAGCAACGATTTAAACTGTTGTAAAAAGTGATTTTTCACATCGGTTTCTAAACCGCTGCTATAAAATGCTGCGGAAACAGTAATTTTTTGGTAGTTTAACAACCCAAATTCTTAACTATAGAGATATTGTTCGTGTTGACTTAATAGCCTCTCGGTTATGTCATATTGGTGTAATGTTTCAGTAGGTCACACTTCCGAAAATTATTTTGGGATGAACACGCTTAACTGTGAAGTTTCTTATAAAAATTTTAGGCATTACAGCAAAATGTGCCTCAATATTTAAGAGTTTAGCTTTCTTTTACTTGAGGGGATTCAGAGGTGGAGCAAAAAATTTTTATTATGAATGCACTAAATATTATTTAAAAAAAAAAAAACGCTCAACTTTTATCATATATGTCGGGTTCAGAATTACTTATATCATAAAAAGAATAAAATTATATAATAAAGAAAAATTTTTAATCTATAGCAAGTCTATTTATACTCTATTACGTAACAGTTTCATGTTTGGAGTCATCATATGTCTTTTTCAATATTAATAATTATATCTCAGTATAACCGCATATAGTTAACATGATTTTGCTGATCGTAATGAAGCGCGCATGCAGTGATGTCATGCAGCTTCTTACACTAAGAACGAGCTTCTATAAGAAGAGCGATGGGAGCACGTTTTCACATGTGGACGGTTAATCCGTATCGAACTTGCCCAACTTCCTGCGACCAAATTCCCGCGAGATTTTGAAGAAACGACTCATGTAAAGTAAATTCGAGATATCCAATCAGAAAGTTAAAAACATATTTTATTCTTTTTTTAATAGAAAACTTTCAAAATTAAATTTAGAGTCATATGAACTTTTATTTAGGGACTTTATAATCAAATTGAAAGTTTATATGAGACAAGGGACAAAGACTTCATTCATGACAACTTTGTTACTGCTTCTTAAAACAATATTTTATTTATTAAAAATCTGCTTCAAGAAGCAATAACAAAATTGGCCCAAACGAGGCCCAAAAGTTATATGATCTAACTCATAAAGTGCTCAAATCAAGCACTTGAAATATATATGAAAATTTAATGACATTAATTTGAGGATAAAATGATCTCTAAATCTTGCACGCTTGCACTTAAATCAAATGTCTCATTTAGAGGAATTTAACAAGCTGAAAAATACGGAAGTGTGAGGTTCTCAAAACATTTAGGCTTTGTTTGTGATAACTTTCTTAATGCTTTCTAAAAAAAAATTTCTACAAAAATTTTTTGAACTAAAAAATTTTTATACAAAAAAATTGCTTTATAAAATAGTAGAAAGTTATACCAAATAAAGCCTTAATTGCTAAAATAGTGGTTTATGGTTGCGAAAATAAGTACAAGCCATCCAATGAAGTGCTTTGAATTTCAACTTAAATTATCAAATTATCACTAGACAACTAATAGTAGGCCAAGATTCTTTACATAAAATGAAGAAAACTAGGACCTAAATTGGACTTGAAATTAATGAGAGTTAGAAGATCTAAGAAAATGTAGAGGTCTACACACTACAAGAAAATAGATTAAGGAGATAAGACATTATAATTGGATAAGCAATAAATTTTAATAATGCTTTATTTGCGACGGCTTTCTTACTGTTTCTTAAAGCATCTTTTAAGTACAAAAATTTTAAATTTTGTACTAATAATTACTTTAAGAAACAGTAAGAAAGCCATCTCAAATGAAGCTTCAATATCACCAAAATTGATATCCATAATTATATATATCAACACTTCATGAAATTAAAGGGGCGTGTGATTTATTTGATTGATCATTTTGCAACCCATTTTTATCTTGGATGCTATAAGAAAAATGTTATTATTGGTCTCTAATTTAGCAACAAAAAAAAAATTATTGGTCACGAAAAGTCTTAGCGACGAGGCTACTGCGACAAACTAGCGACCTAATTATTTTTGGTCGCTATTTGATTTAGCGGCCAAATTGTTATTTTTAGCGGCCAATTTTGATTGTCGCTAATGATTTTTTTTCTTGTAGTGACATGACATTCAATGCCAACATTCACAACAAAACATCATCATCATCATCATCATCAACTAATTGCCATAGCCTCATCACTATAGGTCATTTGGTGTCATTTAACCACCATTGCCCAACTATTATAATCCATTCACCATTATCAAGTTGTTGTCATACAATCACAATAGGACATTTAATTGATGTTCTTTACCCATTATCACCAATATGTTGTCATCTAGGGGTGTCAATTTGGGTCAATGGACTGGGTTCGGGTCCAACCCAAGTTGATTAGGGATTTAACAGGCTGACCCGAACCAAAAACATTGGTCAGGATTTTCAACTTAGACCCGATCCTCACGGGTTCTGGGTTGACACAACTAGACCAGTGAACCCGGAATAGGGTTTAGTTTCCGTCGAGGTCTAGGAAACTGCTCCAATGTGAGTGGCTTGTGATTTCATCGAGCAAAATTGCATGAGTTGGAGAGTGTGGGAGTTAGCGAGTGAACTAGTGTGCTAGACGATAGTGCGAGGTGTGATAGTTGCTTCGGCTAAGGGCGTGTGCAAGCTCGATTTGGGCTAGGCCAACTAGAGGCTTATGCAAGTGCGACAGTCGGCTATAGTGACTTAGCGGTAGCAACGTAGTTGATCAAGGTCGATGGGATGATAGCTGACATCAGGTCAATTCGGGTCAAACTTGCACTGCCAGATTGACTCGAATATGACCCAAACTATAAATGGGTCCAAAAATAGAACCCGTACCTGACCCATTTTTTATCGGGTCGACCCGAACCTGGATTTTTTGGGATGGTTTTGGGTGAGATTTTTGGGTCATGTCAAAAATTGACACCCATACTATCATCCAACTTATATCATTTGACCATAATCATCTAAACTTTCTAGTTAAACTACCATCACCCTCCTACTAATACTTGACTAATATCATCTTATTGCTACAATAACCCTCCAAAACGTCTCCTACAATCTTAATTATAGTTATAAGACACTTATACTAAGTTCATATTTTTATAATCCAAACTTCTGGAATTAAGGGAAACAAAGATCTCTATAATTTTATTTATATAATGAATTAGTGATGCAGAGCATCTTAATTAAATTGCTCCTTAGGCATATTTTAATTAGTTTGTTATGTGCTTCTTACAAGTGTCTTCTAGAGTATTCTATTTAGCTTATATAAGCAAGTAATGTAGTAGGAAAAACTCATTGAATGATATTATACTCTTTGAAGCCTTTGAGCTTGCCTTTCTTCTTCTTCCTTGGATTGAGAAACCGAAATCCTTCTTGCAGGTCGCATCTTCCGACAATCCACTACATCAGTTGGTATCAGAGCCTGGAGCTTGCGAAGATCGATGGACTGCTGAGGAAGGTCGGCTATCGACGACGATTGAAGCCGCAAAACAAGATTGGCGGTCAACGACAATCGACGTCAAGGAAGGTGGGCTGCTGACGATGCTCGGAGCCGGATCGCCTTCTATCAAGCTCAATCGAAGAAGTCGCTCGATCAGGTAGATAGAAACCTTGATCAGATTCGCAAAACTCTTCCGTCAATAAGGAGGATGAGGATGTCGTCGGCAACCATACCGAGGCATTCTTCTTCTTCGATCCCCTCCTCCGCTTCACGCAAACGCCATCCGTCCCGCCATACTCCCATGGTCGCTGATGATTACGCTCCGCTCGAACTCCCGCTCAAATGGCGTGATCCACCGCCGGAATACCCACCGCTCAAGCTTCCGTTGAAATGGCGCGATCCTCCTCCGCTTCATTGCCAGATCCGTGTTCCCAAACCTCCATTTTCTTCAATTCCCAACACCGCCGTTGATTCAAACCATTGCTCAAGTGGCGATCCGAGAGCCTACAATTGCTTTAGTTCACCAGAAATGGCCGTTCCCCATCCCGCTTCCGCCATTAGAGAGCTTTCCCTCCACGGCCCATCTCGCCAATGCCAAAACTCCTCCGCTCACGGCCCGACCTACTCTAACTCCAGAAGGACGGATGCATACGACGTACCAAAAATGAGCCCTCTCACTTCGCTTTCAGAACCCACTCCTCCACCTTCCCTCCCGCTCTCTCCCCCAAATCTTACATTAAAGGTCCATTCCGCAGCTTGCGTCCAAGACGGTCTCCCACGACCGGACCCCGCCGCTGCCTCAGCTACCTCCCGTGATCCGACGCATCTCCCTTTGTCCACACCATCTGATCCTCCAACAAGTCCTTCACCGCTAGCTCCTGTTGCTACTACTCCCAACCCTCCTAATTCTTTGTCACTGCAACTCGCGATCGGGCCTGATGCTGAGCTTGACGCCGAGTCTGACACCGAGATTGACGCCGCGGAAGAGGGATTAGATCTTCAGTGGATCATGATGAACAGTGGTGAACCCGTCTGGATGGAGCTCCAGCTGGAGATTTGCCATCTTCCTGCATTGCCTGCGGACGGCAACAAGGCAGTGCGGGTTCCGGACTCTGCCATGGATGGAAATCATTCCGACTCCGTCAATTACTCGGCCCCTCCTACAGCCCGCGCGAGATCCGGCCCCTGCTGCTCACGCAAGACAGATGATGAGCGCGAGCCAGTGCCTTGCGACGAGCGCGATTCCACGCCTGGAGACGAGCACATTTCAACGCCTGGCGACGAGCGCATTTCCGCACCGAAGACAGTGACGCCAGGAGCAATCGCGATGCTCCTTTCCATTGGTGATCGGCAACTTGATTTGGAGAAGCAACAGTCTATAGCTGCAAAATCTGAGCCTATGACAGAGAAAACTGTGGAATCTCTGCCCTTGCCAATGCAAATTCCAGGTTAGTATGGTGGTCTTTCTCCCTTTGGGTACATGACCCAAGTTTCTTTACAGCATTTTGGTCCTGTTGATGCAAGCGCCAGTTCTTCCAAAGCAGTTCAGATCTTGTTTCCCTCACAACTCCGAAGCAATTCAGATCTCGTTTCCTTCACAACAGTTGGTGCGCAAGGGAGCCTTCCTGGCAAGAGTCTAGGATCTGTGCAAGAGAAGGAAGGTTTGCAAATGCTTGATGTGAAGGCCACATACAAAGCTGATCCAATGCCATGCTCACAAGCTGCTCGATGTAATGTTGCTAATAACTTCAGGCAGTTGGGTATTAATGATTTCCTTGCTGTGATTGATTTAATATTTCAGGACAAACAATACAGACAACTGATTATTCTCAAAGTTCATGAGATAAGTTCAAAAGGCTTATGCTGCTTAGATTTTACATATAAAACTTACTGCACAGACAGTCATCCTGCACACAAGAAGCAGCTTGATCCAAACAAATATTATAAAATTGAGAACAATTTAATCTTCGTTGGTGTTGCTGACCTTAGAGATCCTCTCCGTGCTGAAGTTTATAAAGTAATTGAATATTGTAGAGGAACAGGAATTAAGGTAATTGTTATAATTGGAGATAACGACTCTACTGTAGAATTAATCTGTCATGAAATTGGATTGGCTCGTAAGCTGGAAGGTGTCAAGTGGAGAAGTTTCACAGATAAAAAATTTTTTACTCGTCTTCTTATTAATTAGAAACTTGAACTTCTGTCAAAGCCTATAGACTTAATTTTCCCTTGTGCTGAGCCTCGGCACAAACTATAAATTGTGAGGCTCATGCAGGAAACGGGCGAGGTTGTTGCAATGACAGGAGATGGTGTTAATGATGCACCTACCCTCAAACTTGCTAACATTGGAATTTCTATGGGTATTACTGAATCAGAGATTGCGAAGGAGGCTGGAAAAGAAATGAGGTTTTGGAAGAAATCATTGAAAGAATCCATTGGCATTGGTCTGGTTGGTCAACTTGTTGATGTTGAATTTCTAATCAAATTAATGACTGTGAAAGCAAATGAAGATATAGGAAAAAAAATCTTCAACTGCATTCAAAGCCTTCGACCCAGGAGGATTGATTATAAATTCTACACCTATCTCCCTCTCTACAACACGCCTCGACGAAGTCGAGCCCTTTTTGACGCAAGGGGAGAATGATGCAGAGCATCTTAATTAAATTGCTCCTTAGGCATATTTTAATTAGTTTGTTATGTGCTTCTTACAAGTGTCTTCTAGAGTATTCTATTTAGCTTATATAAGCAAGTAATGTAGTAGGAAAAACTCATTGAATGATATTACACTCTTTGAAGCCTTTGAGCTTGCCTTTCTTCTTCTTCCCTGGATTGGGAAACCGAAATCCTTCTTGCAGGTCGCATCTTCCGACGATCCACTACATCAATTAGTTTTATCTTGGTTGGGCCATTTGTTTTTTTTTTTCAAGATTTCCATTTAAAATCTATGATGTCTCCTATTTTTTTTTTTTTCAATTTGTGTGTAAGATTTATGTATAAATCTAGAACATAAGTTTATCTGTATATTAAAAAATTCTCTAGCATACAATAGTTTGATATCATCTATAAGAAATGTTCCCAATATGCTACAACTACTTCTCTAATGGATGCAAATAATTTGCTTGATGAAGGAGCAAATAATCAAGTTGATTAAGATGATTGAAGCCTAACTTTGGAGGATTGCATGTGTAGAGTGGAGGAGTATTAGGCTTAAACCATATCTTAGAATATTACCCATCACCATCATGTTAAGGTTCCTAGTTTATCACAGCTTTGTTAGAATCTTTAATTTGAACATAACCAATTTGACAAACTTTCTTATGGTACTCTTAAAGCTTAAACTTCTAAATATTCTACTGAGTTTGATGGATTTCCTGTGTCACTCTAATAATTATGGGATTTCCATTTGGAGGAATGGTTACATCTTCAATAGCTGGAGGGAGAATACTGATTACATGCTTTCTGATGTTATTTTTCTGCTGGAGGGTAATGTCTTTACATTCTCTAGACTTTTTAAATTGATTTTCACGGTTAATTGTTTGGCCTTCCAGAATTGCCTATTACTTTCTTATATTGGTACTCCTTTCAGGCAGATTTACGGGTCTTTACTTTGTGATACTTGCGATCTTTCTTACTTGCTTCTGTTGAGAGTTTTTTGCAGGCCTATACTAGTTGATCAAGTTTGAATTTTAAAGAATTGCAAGGTACTCTTTATTTCTAGCTGTGTCTTCTTTTTCTATAGTGTTCTTCTTTTTTGTAGGAAGATGGTGCTGAATTCTGATTTATAGATCTTCCTTTTTTGGGTGCTATCTACTTACAGCCCGAGTCTTTTCTTTTATTATTTTTGTATCCTTAGAACAAGGAACCACCGGCTCTTAGGTTTTATTTCTTTTAATCTTGTAGCTCTTTGGAGCAGTAGAGGGCTGGAGGTTCCTTTAAGGACTTTGTAACCGCAATTTTGATATGAACGCGTAGGCCCCTCCGTGGGTTTTAATTAAAAAAAAAAAAAAAAAACTAGTGGGTTGAAGGCTTTACCTTAGATAAAAATTTAGTGTCTTCTTGCTAAAATTTTCTTTTATTGATCCACAGTTTCATTAAGAACTTTCTAACTCTTTATTTAGACTTTATGTGATTCATAATCTCATCATTACATCTTATTCACAAATCTAAAGAGATATAGCATGATTGCGATTCTTGGTGCAAACTTGTAATCTTTCTTTTGTGCTTAATGTGAATCTAGTTTAAATCATCTTGTGACCTTGTGTGTGAATATTTTGAAGTAATTTTATTTTTGTAGAAAATACATCATATCAATAATTAAAATTATATATTTCCATATTTTATTTAAGTCAAAATTATTTTCAAATATCACAAGTCTTTTTGATCAACTCGTTATGGATTTTAAAGTTATATGTTTTGCATATAATTTTAATATGTTTGTGTTTTTATTTGAGAATATTTTTGATTGATTTTTTTGATGTATAATCATCATCGTATTAATGATTGAATTCATATATTTTTTCCAGAATTTATAAATATCAAATTCTATTGGATTATTCTATGTTGGTGAGTTAACTAGTTGAGATTTTCTAGTGAAAATAATTGTAGACTTGCTTTTTTTCACTTGTGGCTATTTTATTAAATATTCTTGTAAGAAATACTGATGTAATTCATAATTTTATTGATTTAAATCATACATTTTCAGATCTTTTTGATTTTCAAATTATTAGTTTTTATTGGTTCTTTAAGTAGAAGCTTCATATTTTGTGTATACTAGTCTCATACATCTTGATTTGAAAAGTTTTGTGAAAATATTTTGACAATTTATTTTATAAATTTAATCTATGATCATTTAATGATTTGAAATGATTATTATTTTATCTTAACATAAAAAATAAAACATTTTTATAGTATACATCTTTTCATAAAATTTTTTTATTGTAAACCATTTTGTAAGTTAGTGACTTGTTGTGGAACTTGATTTTGCCTTGTGTTTGAATCACCTTTGGATTATTTTTTATATTTAACTATCTATCATCTAAGGTGTAATTATTGAAACATATTATTTTAGAAAATTTATATAAATAGCACTCTTTGGTCTTAATTAAGTGTAAGCATAGTTGCCTTTGGCTTAAGTGTGGTTTTCAACTAGTCTATCCATATTCTGTGAATTATTTTGAATTTAACTCTAAAATAATTTTTGTGTGAATATTTAATATCATCCTAACATAATTTTCATAAAATTTGCAGCAACATTTTTTTACAATATAGCATATATTTTACAAGTAATTACATTGCTTCATTACCCACATTACCTAGTCTTGAAAAAATGTTTTAAAAGTTGTTTGCTTGCCATTTTATCTGCAAATACCTTTAGATAATTCATTTCATCATATTTGCATATTCATATAATATAAAATTAGTGAGAAAACTCATTTGTTTTTTTGTGATTAAAACTTTGTTTTTGTGAGGGACTTGAGATCAATTTCTTGGAAACCAATCCTTTGTAAGACCTAAATTGTTACACATTTTCTTACCTTTATTTTGTGACTTGTATTATTGTTGTGAGGATATCACTATTGTATGAGATAGTATCATCCCTTTGGTAAGAGTGATATGGCTTCTTGTAACCAATTAGTTGAATCCTAGGCATGGAGTAGGCTGATTTTAAGTTTGGGACGAACCACATAAAATTAGCTTTGAATCATATAAGGACTTTGATGAATTGTTGGGTTTCATTTTTTAGGTCTTCCTAGACCTAGCATTCAAATTTTAAGAAGTTCAGAGTTCATTTGGTTTGTTTATTAGTGAAACCTAAACCTTAATTAAAAAAAAAGTAGAATTTTCAAAAAGAATAAATAAAAAAGATTTTTCTAAAAATAAATGTCTATATTATCTCTTTCCTTTTGTGACTGTGCTTTGGCGATCATGGTGTTCTCTGTTCATCCATGCATGTTATTATTGATTTGGGACTTTATTTTGCTTATTTTGCTTTCTAGTTTTTTTTTTTTTAAGAATTTTGTTGATCTTGCGATATGGAATTGGGGACGTCGTATTCTTTGCCAAATCTATGGGGTAGTCCTCCTACTGCTCCAGTTGTTTCAAAATCTAGTTTTTTTAATGAGGAAGGTAAATTTGTTAAACCTAAAACACGATATTTTTGCTATGATGTTTTTGGCACTTCTTCCTCTACAGATCTGACTTTTATGTTTACAGAAGGTTTTGTTCAAGGTTTTCCAGCCCTTTTATTTTGTGAAGATGATATTATGAAACTAGCTTCTCCATTTTAGTTTACTTTAGCTGGGGAGTTTTCCATACGGAGTCCTAATCTTGACACGATTCATATTTTCTTTGGTAACTTAAAACTTTCTGGTGTTTTTTCTATCAAATTGCTTGATCCTAGACATATTTCTATAAAATTATCAAATGATCTTGATTATAACCATGTGTTTGCTT